ATATTTTTTTTTTTAAATTATCAAATGTTTTTTTCACTAAGGAAAATATAAAGGCTTTTTCGAAAAATTGACGACTGAAAAAGAGCTTTTAGCGAATAAAATTTCAAAAGAGAAAGAGAAAATAAATATTAGAGAAAGATAATAGGAATGACATTTCACATTTTCCATGAATAATTTCAAAGCAGCAGAGGCACATCCGCGCGAGACTAGAAACTCATTGGTATCGTAAAAGCAAAGTACCAAGAAGCTCTTACGTATCTCAAGTATTCGCGGGATTATTGCGGTCACTGTTGAACGAACTCTCTTTAGAATTCTCCGCAAGTAAAACCGCATATCCTATCATCTGAATTCAACAAGTTGAATCTGCATCATTGCGTTACATCAACTTGACAATTAAGTATTTTTAATGGATACATTAATATTGTGTATAGATGTATATGAACAAACTGGATAAACACTCATCTTTACGCATAATACGAATTTTACGTGCAAATTAAACTAAAGTTAAATTAAGTTTTGCTAGACTATTTTTTTGTACAGTTAACCTTTAGAGCTTCTCTACGCGTATCTTTGACCAAATTTTGATCTGACATTCATCAATCAACGTCACTGTATTACACGGTAAGATCGACGAACTCCTTATTACTTCAATGATGAAACTTACAATTAATGTTGTGTGGGATTAACCCTTGCCTAGCTGTTGTTTATCGTAAGGGCGACGAAGCAAGAAGCTGAAGAGTTGCGGCATCGATTTACTCTTCGGATAATAAAAAAGGACAGATAAATACACGCGCGCAAAGAATAAATAAATATAAAGGAGATTAGTACTAAGCGATCTTTTTACGATATCCGATTAATAAGATTTCACGGTGCTATGAAATTGAAACGGCATGAAAAAATAAAATACCGCGCGCATAATGCCGATCGGTATTCAGAGGTGATTCAGCCCCGATATTATTTCCACAGGCTTAATCACTAACGGCCGCTCGACCAATAAATCGCCCGTAATTTGCTTTAAGCTTCTCACGGAATTATCTATATCTACCTTCGCCAAAGTTGCTGGATTACCTCGACAACCGACTCTCTCGTGCATATACTGGGAGTTCTGCGTTTCCTTTTCTTCGCAAGTTCTTTGATGAGTTCTTTGACCAATTTAGGGCCAGTTTTTCTCGAACGAGAATTTAATCGCGCTTTCTTAGCGATTTTTTAATGCTTAATATTGGGAAACTGAGTTTTAAGTAGAAATCTTTCTCTAAGAGTAAAGTATTTGCTTGATATCGAATGAGGAATAATATTCTTCTATTCATTTGCACTTAGTGTATTTTATGCTCATATCAATATTGTGAAAATATTTTGTTACAGATAATGGGCAAATGGTACGTCGTGGAAATACTGGAACACATATTGGACCCTAAAAAACCAACGGCTGGATCATACATCGTTGACACGTGTCCAATCGTCACGTTGAAGCCAACGTCAGACAATGCTTCTTTGAAACTATTGTGGAACGAAGAGGCTGGAAATTTGGAGTACAGCTTTCGAATACCAGATATTACCAGAAGAAAAGGCTTTTGGCAAGTCATGAGTGCGCAAAACGGTAAGATCTCGTTAATTTTCGCGTAGCTATCTAAATTAGTTAGCTATTTTTAATTTGCACATCATTTTGATTTACTTATCATTATTTCTTTGCTGCTTTATATCCTTTTTCCAGTTTTTAGAGATATATTTATTAATAATAATAGTAAAATGCAAAAATGTTTTTTATATATTTAATTTTTATTAGAAATTTAAATAGCAAAAAAACAAAACTTTAATTTAACATCGCAATAGTTGACATTTAATTAAGTAGATAATGACTGAAGTAGATAATGAAGTAGATAATACCAATATGTAAATTAATATTAAAGCGAAATGTATTACTGTTGATGTGCAAATTAATGCGTTTATACATTAGAGATCTATGTAATGAACCATATAAACGAGAGAGAAAGAGAGAGAGAGGCGAACGTGTGTTGCGGAATTTATATAAAGAATAATCATGCAAAATGAGAATCGTGATTAGTACAGTAACATGTGGCGAAATTAGAGTAACAGTTCCAAGTTACAACTTTTGTTAAACAAATCGATTAAAGGGCGAGGATGAGCTTTACTTCTTTATATCTTAATCGAATCTCTTAGCATTCCACTTTTCTCCGTGATAAGTTCCAAAGTACTAGGATCGTTTTAATTAGGAGACAAGTTACGCTCGTTACGTAATTGATTTCTTATGTTACACAGTTAACTGAATTAAAAAACTCTCATGATAAAACTGAGAGTCTTAATTTTTCAACTATTCTCGAATAGAGTTCTATCGATATTCTCCCAAAGGGTCTTTTTAAAGACGAAGAAATGAAATTGTGAAGAACTTTTTGAGGAAAGATGATGACATCTCCCGTAAAACGTCTGTAAATTTTTAACATGTGATCCACATTGATAGATTTCGAATAGTATTTTCCTTCATCGCTTTTGCGGAAACAAAATTAGAACTCAGCTTTTGCCACGAAGGAATTTTTCAATTTGTTTCAAATTGCGACGGAAACGTGTTGCGCTGTTGCGGGCCGCATCCTTGTTCCTTTCTCTTTCTCTCTCTCTTGCGTATTCTGGATTTTATTGATCCATTGTCTATATATCCAAAGAAATACATCAACCAGCAACTGAACGTAAAGAGAATAAACTGGAGAATTATTTTTTCTTTTAGAATGTTATTTTTTCCATTATAAAAAGTATTTAAAAAAATTGAATATTAATGTATATATAAATTAATAGTTGTAATATTTCTCTCCTTTAAACATAAATATTTTAAAAGGAAGATTGATACACAAATATTAAAAGACTAAATAACGAAACTTTTTTTATACAATTTTATTAATAAATAAAATTAATAAAGTTGTCGTTTCTTTCTCTTTTGCGCGTAAAAGTTTTTATTTTGACTGCGGAAAGACAGACGCGGAATTCAAAGTTTTTTCGAGGATGATTATCATAAGCCGGTCCAAGTAACCGATCACGTCGCACTTGCCGTGGATAGTCGAAAGTTCTGGGTAACTCCTCGCGGAGAAGTAAATTGGATTAACGATTTGGCCGACTTGATTGTACTCAAAGTTGCATCGGCATTAGAGACATGCTATTAGGCTGCCGACTCTCAGGACAATCGATATGCGTTTTGAGTGGATCGTTAAATAAGGACGAGCGTTAGAACAGAAATCCTGATTTCGTGGAAAAATCACATAATCCGATTATTTATTCTTTAGTAAAATTTTCGTTGCGAGTTTCTCGAGAGAAGCCTTAAATGCGCAAGCAAACGACGAAGATTAAAGCAATATATAAAATAAAAATGAGTCCTCACATACTCGTTTGATATTTGGACTAACTAATGATACCACGACAAAGATTTCAAAAAAGAAAGACAGGTCATAATTAAATTGGTTCAATAAAATTGTTTAGCTCGCTGAATGCTTTATTCAAGCCTGACCTCCTTACTATGTTTACGTTTGCTGGTGGATTAAAAATACGGATTAAGAAGTTTATCCAAGAGAAAAAGAGCAGAATGTTAATCTAGAATGTTGGAATAAAAACACAAATATAGTGTTATGTTTCAAATTTGTTCAACGCTCGTAAATATGTCAAAGCATAAAACTCGCGAGTATCTTTTCAGGATATGTATCGTACCAAAGAAAAAATACATTATAATGATTTTTTGCGCCATATTTAAATTAATAAAATTGATCACAATAGAATATTTATGCGGATTATTGGGGAGATAGTAATATATTTGTTTTATCGATTATTCGTTCAAAATTCTTAAATAAATAAAAACATATAAACACGAGATATATTAAACGAAATATACCAGAATCACAACATTTTATATCGATGTAATTGATTGGAACACGATTTGCTGACGATAATTAAAATCTCAAGCTGCGTCACGGATAACGATCTTAATGAATTCGTGGAATCGTCCGTGTGATTATCGGTTAACCGTCAGTCGAGCTAAGAGATTCAGCCGTCGTAAGCCAGTAAAGTCGAGGCATCCAATTACGAATGCCTGATGTCGTAAAATGACGGGAGAACGCGGAAAATTCGTCGCGAGGAGCTCTCGCGAGAAGAAAACGCTCGACGACGTGGAAAATAATTTTTCAAAAGTCACACGGCCATCTGCTCTTTTTAATTTCTTTTCGGCCGACTCTGCAAGTTTCTCTTATTTTTATCCTCTCCCGGGGAGCATCCACCCTCTGTGGCTTGTCCTCGCTATTCTTCGCTATCGAAGCCAACAGCAAATAGGGGATCCGATATATAATAACGCCCGAGCGGACGAGAACGTACATAATACGGATTGAGGTTTACGCGAGTTCATTTCAGTCCGTTTGCTGGAGCATACTAATCCGAAAACCGAAAACCGAACCGGGCTTCCGGCTGGATAATATGCCTCGGCATCGTGAATTTGCAAGTGTATGCTCGATTGATGTATGGACATTGTTTAGTGTAAAGTCGCTTGGAACTTTGGGACTGCATCGGGAAACGTCAACATCGAAGTTCGTTCTTGTGTTAATCCTTTCACGAATGGATCCTCAATCAAGAAAACTCGAAACGGGCGACTCTCGTATTTGAAGCGTAAAGAGATTGAATAAGTTTTCCGTTGTAAAAGTAAAAGTAATAGATATGCGTTGTTTATAAGCGACGTAATATATAATTACGAAATTGCTAATAAAATTGAAAAACGATCAATTATTAAAATTTCTTTCTTTTTCCATCTCTTTAATCAACGAATATATTAAACTCAATGGATACTCTTATAGATGTGATTATTTTAATCTCTTGTTAGTGAAAATGTAATTAGTTGTCAATATGTTCATAAAGTGACTATTATAATTATCTTTTTTTAAACATGGATGCATTTCTATTAAATTATTATAGAATATTTTTGACGTTTTATATTACATCAGAAAGTTCTTATTAAAACCAATTTTGACCTAGTATTTCAATATCGAGACACCAGAAAAATTCCGGCGTAATAGAATTCCTGAGAAGGGGAAATATCTTTCTATAGAAGAATATAACTGAGATGTAATAAAAGAATTTTGATATATTTTTAGCGACTTGTACAAATGTAATAATTGATTATTTTCCTCGCGGACATATAGAAATTTTAATTTGTTTACTTTTAATTTTATTTTACTTTAACGTATCGATTATATGCATATAGTATATAAATAATCGATTTCACCATGCAGGTTAATTAAATTGAGATATAACGCGTCAAATAAAAAATAATAAAAACAAAATATCTGAAATTAAACAATGGACGTATTTAATAATGCAAAATATAATTTTTATCTTTCATAAAATTTTTAAAATACATTTATATCTCGAATTTTTTATCGATATTCTGAATATTTCTAATTATATTTATGCACGTGTTTAATTGTACAAAAGAAACAAAATTGTGTTCTCGTATCTCGGGTCGCGTTAACGGAGAAAAGAGAGGCGAAGGCGCGATAAACGCTCGTTTTTTCGTCTCGGCACAACATAAGCGACTTTATTACAGAAAGTTAAATCAATTCCGTGCATTAGCCGCTCCTTGAACCGGAAGTACTAGGACTCCGCGAGGATTCGCCGCGAGTGTGTTTTTGCCGTTTTATAGAACGCGCGGAAATGAAAACTTTCCTTTCCGACATCTTCCTCTCACCGAATTTAACTTCCCTCGACTTTAACCGGGAATCTCATCAGAGCTGCAGCTGCCGTATTTTAGGTACTAAAAAGGGAGATCGAGGGTAGTTTTTCACGATGGAATTTGTAATTTTCATGCAACATACTTTGCGGTTACTAGACGCGACGCTTGACGGGACGATAAAGAGATACTGGAGAGACTAATATATCGATGTAAGTGCTGTCTACTTGAAATTGCAAGTTCGATCAAAATTAAAAAAAAAGAAAAAAATGAATCTTGTATCGTTATATGGTTGACCTAGTTTTCAACTCGTAAACCAACAATATTATTCTTCTCTACACACAGAAAAATATTATTCTATTGCTAAGTAAAATGATTACTCAGTTTACTTTACTTCTTTTAAGTAACAGTTATCTTTAACAAAGAATATTTTCTTAATAATAGTCTTAAAATAGACTTATCACAAATTTTAGAAATACTCATTATCATGTACTCAAAAAAAGTAAATATTTTCTTTTGAAGAATATTATAAAATTTTATCGAAGAAAAGTCAGATATGGTTAATTTAATGTAAGAAAATTTATTAGATCAGAAAAATTTAATGTATTTCTTTCAATTATATAATTTAATATTCTTGATTGAAATATTAAATTTATTAGGATTCAGAATATATTTTGAATAAATTTGATGCTTATGATAAACTTATGATAGATTTGCGGATATATGAACTTATGAAATACTTGAAACAAGTAATATTTACTTGTATATAGTATGTATTTTTCTGTGTGTAGTAAAGCTATATCAAATATATATAGGTATATAAAAATATTCTTGATGTTATATACGCACACATACAGAGAAGTAAAATTATTACATGGAAAATTTAATACAGGAATGATTTGATATATAGTTTTTCAAAAGAAAAATATATTTTTCTAAATGATACTGATTAAACTAAATATCTCTCTGTATTCTAAACATATCACTATATTGTAATACTTATATGAAAGGAAAATTGAAACGTAATTACGAAGCTAATCGGTTAATTAGTTTGCCTGTTAATACATGATTATTAATTCATAGGTAAGGAATACCATTAATGTATAATTGATTACATACGCACGTGAGAGAAGTTTACATTGCAATCCAACGCTCAACCGTTCAATTTGGAGCAGCAATGTACAGGGCAGTAGTTGTAGCAAAATGTAATGATAATGTCACGCTATGGGAACAAATTTGAATACTAATCATGATAATGTATCGACTGAAGCGATTATAGCGATGACGTCGCCGGCATATTCGCAGCGTATGTAATTAAGTACGGCGCGTAATTACCATGTCGCTTTAATTTAATTCGTGACTTCCGCACAATCGGGAAGGACGCAACACGGAGGAGATAAATATCTAATTACTCATGGTGCAATTACGTGGATATCGTTCGTGATTACGCGTTTTCGATTTTCATTGCCTGTGCCATTCATGTCGCTTTGCTTAACAGCCGTAACAATCCAGTCGTGGTGAATGTCATTCGCAACCGTTTCAGTAAATCGTCATTCCGATGAATTGTCAGTGCGCTTTACGGCAGTGATCAATACGTCACACATCTATAATACACGCACGAAACGTCATCGCATTCAGCGACATTTCGATTAGGCTTTATGCTTCCTCTCCGATCACGAGAGAAGCGACGAGCGCAAAAAATATTTTATATAAGTATTATATAAAATCTCGGTATATTTTATATATCGAGAGAAAACTTGTATACGTGTATGTACATTCGGGAGAAGCAGAAAAATATAAAAAAATTGAATAATTATGACACACGCGATGACTTCTTTCTCTCTGTCTTGATTTTTCTCTTGCTAATGAGAAACTTTGATCCCAAAATTGTCAAAGATTTATCAAGATTACATTAAAAATTAAAATCGGTTAATATGGCGGAAATAGAGTTGCTTTCCCTCTATATGTAAGTCCACTACGCTTCGCTTCGAAATGCGGATGCTTCTAAATGCTGAGTGCTATTTCTAGTGAAATATTTCCGACATCGCGACGGTCCCGTGAATACGGAATGCGTGTACATCGCTTATGGTCGCACATCGTGCATATAGATTATACACGTACTTGCCGTCTCGTCTCCGTATTTCCTTCATAATGTTAAGTGTGCTCTCAACTACGTAATAAGCCGTAATATTACATGTTTCCACATACATTTGTATATCTCGCGTCGCGTCACAGACGATCATCGAATCCGTCTAGATCGCCTCGGCGGAGTGAAATCGTAATCAAATCATTGCAATTCCAATTACTTCAGTATTTTATTTGGCAAAAATAATGTGATTTAATTAATTCGATTAAATAATACACCTTTCAAAGTTGAAATATATTTGCGAATTGTAAAATATAGGAAAAAACTGACACAATGACAAAGAAAACAAGACCCTAAATTTCTTTCTGTCGTTTACATTGTAAATGATTACATTAGGCAAAACACCGATCGTTTGTATTTCGGTCAGAAGTCAATTTGCTCTCTCGCGTAGATTAAACATTTCTGTAGATTAAACACAGTTTGGAGTTTATATCTTGGGAATCTTCGGAGTATAGTAGTTGAAACTTATATTTGTCAAAGCAGCGACTTAGTCCATTAAGTGTGTTCAGATAAAAGTGCCAAGTCTGTGATAAATGATACAATAGTGTTGTGTACTATTTGTTACTCGCTGTGGAAATTTCTAAAGAAAACACTTTAGTTTCTTTGTAATTTTGATACCACTTGCATCAGCTTTTATTGCTTTGCAATTCGTATTCATTACTCGAAGTGTTTTAGCACTTTCCAAACACTATAAGGAGATTAATTGAAAAGAGAGAGAGAGAGAGAGAGAGAGAGAGAGAGAAAGAGAGAGAGAGGATAAAGGGAGAAAGAGAGAGGTCATCGTGTAACATATCGTGTATATAAGTATTTTAATATTTCTTGATTAAAATCGTTAGAAATTGAAAGTCTCATTTTTTTCTTAATATTGTTAATATGCATGTGTGTTTACATATATACCTACATAGATTCATGTTGTATATAGATGGATATCATATCACGTTTCTTCTTTTCGCTATATCAGTGGGGACAGGAAATTGGAAAGTCAAGCTATCGTTGCTTGCTTGATTCTTCTTTATTGTCGTGCCTTTCCTAGCTTGACAATATCTTAGATATTCTATTTCGAAATACGAGTCGAAAATATTCGTCTGTCAGTATCATCACTGATACATGTGTCAAATATAATCGGATGTATTCCGGAAGAATCTTATTTAAATATTATTGAAAAGATTTGTATTATTGTGACAATGTTGTACTTTCAGGAAAAAGATTTGCATTTTATTAATTTGTATTTTTAATACAATATTTTCGCTATACGATATTTTCAAATTATTTTTCTCTATATATGAAATACAAATTAATAAATACTAATAATGTTCTACTCTTTATTGTATTCTTTTTCCTGTTTCAAGAGCATTCCTCGCAGAAATGAAAATAATTTGTAGAAATAGAATTGTCATCGGCAGACACATTTATTTCTGCAGTCGCGACAGTTCTGTTTGTACAAGAGATTCTAACTCCGTGCGCATAGCGGACGCGCGAAAGTGACGCGAAAAACCGGAAATTCGATAGGAAAGATTTTCTTTCTCTCTCTCTCTCTCTCTATCTCTCTGCTTCCTTGCGTATCGCGTCGTTGCTTTTTAACCGGCTGTTGATTTAATTTGCAGGCACCTTGACGGAGAAGCAGTACAAGCAATTCACCGGCAACGTGCACGTAATGAAGGCCGTTGCCTCGGACATGGTGTTGACTTTCTGCTCCCGTCATCCCGACAGTCAACTTTACTCGCTGCTATTGTCGCGCGGGCACATCCTACAGCAGAGCGACAAACGAGGCGTACACAATCTGTTGAGCCGTCGCAACCTGAAAAGCGTCAGCATCCGGGAGACCTGCGTGAACGGTAGCGCCGGATCTAGAAGAGGTGCGCTCGATCTCGTCACTTGGGCCACTCTCGTCGGCCTCCTCTCGTCGAGCTTCCTCTTTAGGTCCTGGCAGTAGTGAATTAGGTAGACGATCTATATCGAGAACCTTGGCACGCAATCGCCAGCCAAGCTCGAGTGTCTCTCTCTCTGTCTCGATTAATTAACACGATTATTAACACTTTGGATGCTGCGCGCGAATAATCTCAAATATCGCCGGAAATTCGTCGAGATTCGGCTTGCTATACGTTTAGGTTAATTATAAAACGCTCGCGAGCTGAATTAAATATCTTTTGTGTGATAATTTTCGCGTTATTATAATATTTTGCATTATTTCAGTTTTGTCATGAAATAATTTTTTATTACGACATTCTTTTTCCTCTTACCCCTTCTCTTACATTTCTCTGTTATAAAATTTTAATTGATTTGAATTTATTACTTTATTAGATAAATTATTTTAATCACAATAATATATAACACATGCTAATGATGCATAACAAATATAAGCAAAACGAATACTCTCATATAGTAATCTTTAAATGTATTAATATTAATAAAACGTATCAAGTAATTTTTTAAAAAACTTTTTGAGGGAGCTATGATATTAATTATATTTTATTTATCTTTTTCTAACGCGCCTTCTCAACATATATTAACATACGAAGCTTAATGTAAAGTCTTGAAAACGAGAGAATCGCATCCAAAGGGTTAAAGTTTTATTATACCGTGACAGATGCTCTGGACATCGAAGATCCCTTCTACAATTAGCTTAACCTCATCATGGATACTCGATCAACATTACGAAAAGCGAAATTGCGATTTAGATCCGCAGCGTTCCCGGTCTCTAAAGCAATCACATAGAAAGAACGGACCTCGTTGACGGGATTTGTGATTCGACGAACCTTAAGAGGATCAGATCGCGCGAGGTGAACACGATCGAGTAAGGGAAAAACATCGATATCATTCGCTTCTCTCATGGAAGCTTCTATCTAGATCCCTAGATCGATTGGCCACTCGAATATTTTTCAGCGACATCCTCGTCGTTTGTTCCTTCCTTTCGAGAATAAATTATCCATTAGGCGATTTTTCCGCCATCCCGGGCTCTCGGCGAGGACATTGCCTCGCTCCTTGCTGTCAAGTTCTTAATCAAAAATGCTTTGTAGCACAAGCGCATGCAAAAAAAAAAACGCGAGTGCAAAAAAGATTCACCGCACAAATATATTTTTCCGCGCTACGTTCCGGAAAAAGCACGTGTATAAATGTATACGGAGTATGTATAAATGTATGCGGAGTTAATCTTTTTTTCTAGTATGCCACGTGTGACATCTTGAGTTATAACGCTAATGTTTTTTTCGTGATAAGATTCGCTAACCAGAAGGGGTTTTACATCGGCTCTTGTTGACCACTAGAATCTGTTACATAATGTCTCTACATGCGTCTTAATATATTTATATTATAATAATTATTTTTGATTACTTTTACCTTCTGTAAAATGTGGAAATACAGTCGGGGATATAATTTTCTACGAGCGGTTTTTTATGCAAGAGAGAAAAAAAAGTAATCGCAAAGTTTGAGCAAAGTCATTAAGATCACCCTATCTACTTAGCTGCATCCTGCGAAAACACTTGGTCCCCCATCCCATTAGCGGCGCAAATCTCAGCGAAATCCGTAACAGAAGGGCACTAAGAATGACGGAATATCGGAATCTCGCCGCGCGAGTACCGCGTCGAGGATTTTCCGCAAATACTTTTCCGATATCCGAGAGAGATGCGCACCTCTTTGGCGTTCCTCGGCATCTCTTTGACCAAGGCTGAAGAATGTTCGAGCGGCGCTCTCGTATCCTTCTTATTCCCTCTTTCGATACTTGTCCGTCAGAAAAGTTCCCTCGAATTGCTTTATCGCGGAGAACATCTCGATGTTCATGCCCGACTCGTGTCTGTTCCGATAAGAGCGCGGATTACAGGGAAATAAATGGGGGTGCGGGATGCTTTTGCATCCTCGTATGTGTCTGCGTCACACGAGTCAACGGAGTGAGGTATGTTCTCGACGATTTCAAGTTCCACTGATGCAGCAACCTCATGCAGATTGCAGAACTGTCTGGCGATAATGTCGTTCCGCGAGAAGAAGTTTCCGCGAGATCCGCTCTCGCCTCTTCCGGAGCTTTTCGTATACGGGGTGTTTTGAAGAAAGGAATTAACCGAGCGTACACTCTCGTAATTCAGTTTTCACGAAGTAACAGTGAGATGTTACAATATAAGTGGAAGTTAACGTACCTACTTGAGTCAGACTTGAACGAGCATTTATTCATCTTTTAATCTCTCGTTTCATGCGTAAGAATATTTTAATTATTTTTATCACACGTGTAAAAAGTGTTCAAGAAGCAGAAAAGTTAAGAAATTACTTATTCATTCTTATTATTATACATGTTTTTAATGTCTGAGGTAATAAATATTTTTTTTAGTTGAGTAAATAAAGAATGTAAGCTCTCTTTATCTCTTAAGACACCCTGTACTATTCCGTTCCAACTTGAGTCACGTAGAACTCGCGAATGTCGCGACGTCGTCGCGATGTCGACGTCGTCCTTCTTTTCTGCTGCATCGCGTAACGAAATCACCGAAATCTCCGTCTTCACACCTGGAATTTTCAAGTCGCGCAAATAGATAATTCTCCTACGTTTCTCAGGTAATCGTTAGCAATTATCGGATTTATCAGAAGAAATCGATTTTTGCATAATTATTGATTAAATATTTTAAATATTATTTAAAATAAAAAATAAGAGCAACAGCTTCCCCAGTTGTTGAATTTTTGTATATCTTTTATATGTTTAAAGTTTCTAACATTTTAAGAGAAAAGAAAATATGTTTGTCACCTTGACATTTTCATGTAAATATTTTGAAAATCAATGTCTATACAAGTTGAGATCGGTCCAACGTTGCGGACACATATTACGATAGATAATTGTAATTTTGGCTAAAGTTTCGAAAATGTTTTCGCACCGATTGTTATCCAGTTTAGTAGATATGTCTTTTTTTGAGAAATAAAAAACAGTATTGTACAGAAAAATGCTGGTTTCTGCGAGATGTTAATTTAATTAATAATTTGAATGATTTTAAATAAAATCTCAATTAATAAGTAAAAAAAAAATAGATATTTCAATAAATATTTTTATTTGCAATACGAAATTAGGATAATTCAAAGTGAACGCTTTTCGAAACTTTGCTTATAATTTTAGGTAGGAGATCTAAGTGTTCAATTTAATTGAATCAGTATGATCAGAAACCGCATGAGTATTTTTTTTTTAAGAACTCAGTGCAATCAGAATTTTTTTTTCCGCGAAATATTAGATTATATTATTGTACTCATATTATTTCTTCCTGCATGTAATACAATTAAAGAATAAAATTCTGATAGTAGCTGACTTTTGAAAAAAAAAAATTGGACTTGCGCGGTTTCCGATCTCATTGATATAAATAATCATGCTCCATGATTTGTGTCTTCGAGAACGAGTCAGTCATTGCTCTTCCGTATGAACTTGAGATATGATAGATAGAAATGCATGTCGTACACGTCTCCGTTAGCAAACGTAAAATGACAATAGGTGTCAGCGGTAAAGCTGATCTTCTGCGAAGATGAATAGATAGCGAATCGTCATGTTTATCAACTAAAGTCTGAACTATCGAACCAAATATCGCGTGATATCGATGTATCGTGACAATTTCATATTCAATCTACGATCCTTGAATGTTTTCTCTACAGTCGTTTAGAATTAAGTACATCTGCTATCGGTAAGCTACGAACGCATAATTAAACGACATCATTTCTCGAACTTCTGTCAGCATAAAAAAAATTATTATTAATTTAGGTTTTGTTATCTTCTTATTTTGGTGGATAGAGATATTATACGATTATAGAGTTATATAAACTATAAAAGAAATAATAATTTAAACTGTTTAAAAATGCGAATAATAATTGAAATAATTATTTTGTTTTGAAATAAAGTAATACTCGAAAAATATACAATAATTATATTTATTATTTTGTTAATTGTTTTTATAAATATATACATATATGTATAACTCTATAGGATAAATTTATTGCTAATTATCGGGATGCCGTTATTACTAGAAAGTTTATTATAAAATAACGTAGTTGTTAAAATAATCATATATATATATATATATAAAGCCATAAAAATATATAGAATGATTTTATCGATCGATTCTATAAAAATGCGAAGTGAGATTGTGATTAATGACGTAATTAAATTAATAGACATATTATTATACTCTAATGATCACATACACATACACAAATACATTCTTTAAAAAGTCTGATAAGTCATTTGGATGTTCGCTGCCAAGAATACATCCAAAGAGAGGTAATATTTAATATAAATATAAATAAATTATTAAATATTAGAATAAAAATGAATAATTTCGACAATTCGTATTCTTATTTCAATGTTGGATTTTAATTCTGCACGTTAACGATGTTGTGACAAAGATATGAGAATGTAAAATAATTACGTGTGTATATCGATATAGATAAATTTGATAGGAGCTTATGTCGCGAACGTGGAAATTGTTACAATTAATATTGAAATTGCGCCAATTGTTATAATCGAATATCAACGTCGCACGATTGCACAGTGACGTAGTGGGAGGACGTGTAAACAATTAAAGCTTACGGTGGGACGTGATTAAGCCCAGGGCAGCTCGATAAACTCCGAAGAAGACCGGCTTATCGATCCTCGCTAGCTCCAGAGCACGTCTACCGAGGCTGTGCCGTTGTTTCCGTTAACGTCGTCGTGCCGTTATGCAGAATTTACGAGACCACGGCGCTAACCACACACGAGAGCCCGTGCCATCAATTTTTATCACGCTCACTTCCGAATTAAGCTTAAACACGATATTTCTTTTTAAGCATACGTCGCGGATTTATCGGGACGATTACACGGAAATCCCATAACTTACGAAACAGCTGCGTATTTCTCATTTCTATCCGCGCATTCGGTCGAGATTGCCGTTACTTTTTCCATGTCTCGTCATTTATCGAAGGATTATTATCGGTCCCATTTCCGGATTTGTCTTTCGTATTGAATTTCGAGACGAGACGGCGATTCGATGCTTTCATCAGAATTTCCAACTTGTCCGGAATTTATTACTTAATCACGTTTGTTGCGCGCGCGAAATTAAATTTTAACATTCATTCAAAACTCTTGAGCACGTCGCTTATGGATGACTTCAATTGAAATTGTTAATTGATTTTTATTCTCTTAATATATTCCAGAGAGAAGAATTAATATATTATCCGTCTAGAGAGAGAGAGAGAGAAAATGATGGGCATTCAATTTTCCCTTGCAAGTATTTTTAAAATTCTTTAAAGTTGCACAAATTATCAATCTTAAATAACATTGGAAGGAATTCAAAATTTTTATCACATATCTGAAATAATCGATAGTGTTTGTTAACTCATCACTAATTATTAATTAATTAATATGTTAGTACAAGCAGAAAAGTGATCAAAATATATAAAATCAGAATATATAAAATCATGACATCTGTGTTGCAAAGATCCTGTATATATCTTGACTTCGAGTTAAAACGAGATATTCGTGATATCGATCGTGAAAAATGTTCGCAATCGTCGCAAATTTCCGCGATAATTTAAATGTAATAATGGATACTAGAGAGCTCGTTATTAAATTAAATTATTGTATACTCGATGCGCCAGTCGCGCGGAATCGCGCGATGTTATGTTTAAAATGCTCTATAGAGTCTTTATTTATTGTACAAAAAGTGCTGGATATTATATATAAATATATATACGTATAAATTATACACATATATGATCTAAATAGTACCTAATACGATGTATAATCGTATATGCTTATTATGTGTATAAATATATGAAACAATAAAAAATTACGTCGACGTTTCACGCATTTCTCAGCTCTATAATACTTCCCATATCCTCTTCTTCTTTATTTCTATCTTTTCTTTATAATAATAATATATCCGGTGACAAAGACCGAGTCTTTTTTCTCTCTTACGATATTAATTTACGGAAGTCTCGCCGACAACATAAAATTACGATGCCGCACGCAAAAGCAACTTTAACACTACAGCGGGCAATATAATGCGCTCTGTAACATGTTACGTCACGTAACTTGTTTTATAAAATGCAAGGAGAAGTTTCGAAACTTACTCTCTGTACCGAATAGAAAGGAACTTCTCGAACAAGAAAGGCGAGATGAAAGAGAGATAAAGGGAGAAGAAGAAAGAGAGAAAAAGGAAAAGGCTTTCACAGATTCGCGAATATATTTACATCGACGTAAAGTAGAAGTTCGATATCAATAGTAATCAATAGTATAAAAGTCAAACGCTCACATATTAGATTTTAGGTATATTAGAAAAGTGTCGCGTTTTCAATAGAATACAAAATATGTTTAATATCGTACCTTTCTTTATTCTTAATATTCGCCTACATCCTATGTAATAAGAACATCAAATGTATTTACATACCTCGCACTTTGCAGAACAGATTTGTAATATCTACGTTGTAAAGCTGTCATCTTAAGCTGTCGTCTTAATGCGACTATAAAGTAGCGCGTTAATATATAATATAACTCAAGAATAGAAATTATATTTTAAAATCTATGAGAAGAATAGAAAGAATTTTATTTTAGTTATAATAGAATTTTATTTTATTATGTATTTATTTTAGTATGTTTATT